GCTCCCAGCGGGCCAGCAGCAGCAGCAGCATCATTGCTGCCAGATGCAAATTGATAGTCAAGTCACTCATCCAAACAATGGGGTCCGGCTAATCCTTTTACAATGGGACTAATTGCTAATCAGACCGATTTCACACTGGCTGTTCCCCTGACAATGAGGCTGCGTGGAGAAGGGCTCCTGGGGGGTGGGGAGGACGCTCCGTGGGTGCCCACAGCTCCCACCAGCTCCCCCATCCCCGTGCCAGGCCCTGCCAGGCCCTGCAGCAGGACCAGCCCCCTGGCAGACGGGCACCGGGATGGCACCGGGGTCTTCCAGTTTGGCAAAGTCTCCAGCAGGCGGTGGCCGGGGGCTGGCACGGGCTCCAGCCTCATCCTGCCTTGGTGCCAACCGGGGCTGAGCAGGGCTTGGGTTCCACCCGCAACACCTGGCAGTCCCCGGGCCACCTCCAGCCCCCGCCTCCATGTCCCCTGCCCCTTCCCCAGAGCTACGGGGGCGAGGGCTGGTCTCTGAAACGGTGGATGTCACCCCCTGGATGTGTGCTGGGGACCGATGCTCCTTGCCCTGCCCTGTTTGGGTACCACGGGGCTGCGGTACCACGTGGCACCACCGTGCCGGGAGGGTCTCTCTGCTTTGGTGAAGGGCCTGAGCGTGGTGAACAGGGCAGGGGTGACATGGGGGCAGACGGGGACGGGGAGGGGGACACAGCAAGGGTACAGCCCTGCAAAGGCGCAGGTCGCTGCAAGAAGTGGTGCAGAGCAGAGAGGGGCAGAGCAGTGTCAGAGGCATCATGGAGACCCTGGGGCTGGCATCAGCCTTTGCCTACTACCCCTGGACCCTGCCAAAATCTGCCAGACCCCGATGCCAGGCAGCTGCCACCAGGGAGGGTTTGCCAGCCCCCATGTCCCCTTGCACGTCACCACATGGCCGGGAGCTGAGCCCCACATTTCGGGCCATGCGATGATGCGCTGCTCCCCGCCAGCCGGGATGGGGCCGTGGGATGCCAGGGGCTCGTAGGGACTGCTGGGGGCTGCTGGGGCAGTGGTGGGTGAAGCAGGTCCCTGCCTGCCTGCTGTTAATAAGCTCCCGGCCCGCCCCCATGCAGCCCCCTGCCCTGCGCCGCGCACCCAGAGCCACGGCCAGCCGAGCGCATCGGGGTGCTAATGAGGAGAGAGCCGGGCTCGCCGCGCCTGGCGCTTAATTGCTGCTGTCTTTTGGCTCTTAATGAAGCTCCGCTGCAGAAGAGGCAGCAGCCTCCCCTCCCCTCCTCTCCCTCTGGCAGCCTGACCCTGCCTGCCTGGTCCCCTGCCCCACACCAGCCTGGCCCCGGGGCCGTGGGTGGCACTGGGTGCCCTGTACTGGAGCCACCAAGTGGGATGGAGTAGCGGAGGAGGAGGTTAGCACCGTGCTGAATGTCACCCCTGTCCAACCATCGCGTTCTCGAACCCCCCAAACACTGTCCCCTCTCTCTGTGCTGGGCACGGCCGCGCAGCATCTCCTGCATCCTGGGCTGAGCAGACCTGGGGAGCGCTGGCAGAGAGGGATCCCCTATATAAGGGGTCCCCAATCCTGCGAGGGGGGCTCACCAGCAGCTGGGCATCACCCCAGCAAGCCCTGCCGGGGCATCCCCAGCCCCCCGGGGTGATGTCCGTGGGTGCAAGGTGGCACCACGGGGCTGAGCTGGCTGGTGGCTCCGGCTCTGCAAGCTCAGTGGTGGCCACGTGCGCTGATCCCTGATGCACAGCGGCTCGATCACATGGAGGGGAGCTTGGGTGACCCCGTGGGTTAAGGGAGAGGTGTTTGGGGGGTCAGGGGGAGCTCTGCCAGGCAGGTTGGCCCAGGGCTCAGCTTGCTCTGGCTGAAGGTGACGAGCAGCGGCACGGGCAGCCACCGCCACGTGTCCCAGCCTGTTCCATGGCCCGTGCCAGCCACGGCCTGTCCCCTCCCTGGCTGTGCACGGGGCCGTGCAGGAAGGGGTTAACGGCTAGCCCATACCTGCAGTTGCATTTTAAAGATGTGAAATTAAAGCCCGTAATTTATTCTCCCCACACACGAAGGAGCAATTAGTTCTAAACACGGCTTAATCAGTCAGCGCGAGATTGATTTCTGTAGACTTGGATTTGGTGGCTGCTGGCGAGGAGCCAGCCTGGGAGCAATCTCCAAATAAATGAAGTGCAGAGAAGTAAGCCATTACATAATATGATAGATGAGGCTGGAGCTCACTCGCCTCTTCATTAGTATTCCGCTGTACGCCGGCAACAGCACCAAAACTTTCTCCCCGGCACCTTGGTTTCTTCCCCCCTCCCGCTCCCTCTGCGGCTGGGCAGAGGCAGGAGGAGCTGCTGCCCCCCTTCCACCACCACTGCCCGGCCCTGAGCCCGCGGGCAGCGCTGAAGGGGTCCCTACGCCATGGACTGATGCTCTCCCCTGGGCTCCGTGTCTTGCCCTTCCCCTGTGCCCCCTGGTGAAACCGCAGCGCGGGGAGCTGGAGTGGCGTCCCATGAGCTGCAGAAGATCAGCAGCAAGAGGCGGATGTCCTCACCTCTGCTCTTCCCTTGGCCGGACCTTTGAAGGCATCTCCCCAAGGCTCACCCCAGCCTGTCGCCCTGTGGGGCAGTGGCAGCTTGAGGTGCTTGTGTTGGGACTGGTGTGAGCTACATCCCTCCTCCTGCCTTCCCCGAGGGCATCCCTGCTCCGGCCGGCGAGCTGCTCAGTGCCACAGCAGCGA